CCAATGGCATGCCAGTAGTTTTGACTGGCAGCCGACAGGCCAATGGCTGAGGGAGCGTATGCAATCTCGCCACCCCATAGGACAGAAGCCACCACCATTCGGCTTTTATATATAAGAAAGATTCCCTGGTTTATTTGTCAATGTGTTATTACTGTAGCTTGAGATATAACACAAAGATTAAATACCTTACATAAAATATGACGCATAGTTTCTGAAAGAACACAGTAACAAAATATAGTCAGGAGTGGGGGGAGAAAAACTGGACATTCTATAAAATAACACTAAAAAAACTCAGTTTATCTCTCAAAATCTTTCAAATATCTCTCTCAAGCAGTATGCTAATGATTATGATCAGGGGTCATTTCGTAGAAAAAGAGCTAGGGGGACTCATTAGCATAACTCGTTAGCATATGCCACACCCCCTGACATCACCGGAAGTGTGTCCTCCCCACAGCCGGCGGTGACCTCCAGCGGGCACCAGCAGGGAAAACTGGACATTCTATAAAATAACACTCAAAAACTCAGTTTATTTCTCAAAATCTTTCAAATCTCCCTCTCAAGCAGTATGCTAATGCTGCACACATGATTACTCAAATTCATAACAGGAAATAAACACTGTTTTCTAGATTAAATTGTCCAAATTAAAGTCACCAGTAATGTGCATTTGGAAAAGAAAAAAAATCAGGCTATTACCTTTCCTTGTAGCTAATAAAAATTTGATACAGGTTTTGGTCATTTTTGTTTGCAATTGACTCATGAATATCCTGTGTTAAACTTCTGTGGATTTTCACCAAATCCTAAAAAAAAATATAATCTATAAAAATTTCCATGACAATTATTAGAGCAGCCACCAGTTTTCAAGATACAAACTCATACAATGAGAACATTCATTAACTGATTCAGTAGAAATCATTACAAGCCAAAGGTATGCCATCTAAGATGCAGAAATAAAGGTCTTCGTAACTGCAGTACCCCTTCTAATTCAATATTGTACAGCAATGGTACTATGAGATTTGGTGATTATTCATCTGTTCAATAAACTTTAAAAAAATCATTTTCAGACATTTTCCCCTCTTGTCCTTCTTTTATAGTAAAATCAAAGAAATTCATTAGGTTTGGCACAGATGTAATATTACTTGGGAGTGAAACAAGTGCTCTTCCCCTGTTTTCCTTCTCATAATTTCACAAACACACCCCTATCAGGGTTCATATTATCATTGCAAAGTGTAGTCAAAATGAAGCCAAAAATTTACTAAACTATCTTTAAAATTCTTCAGTAAACCTGGATTCTAAAACACATTTCCAGAGCACCCCTGAGTTCACATCTATAGATCCAAGTAAAGAGTGATCAGAAAGTGTTAGTGCATTTATAAGAGCAGAGGAAGAAAGTGTGTGCACATTATACTGGTCAGTTCAAGAGCATCACACCGGAAACATTTTTGAAGCCACTGAGCCAAACAGCCAAAGCAACAGATATTGCCATTTGTAATTAGAGCAGACACAATACAGGTGTTTGCAGGTGTCTATGAAAAAATACAGATGTATGTTCTCAAAGCTGTACAGGGCTGCACTAAGACAAAAGTAAAATGCTGATAGAGAAAGCTACACAAGGAACTCTCTGGTCCTTAGGTTTTGTATCCTGACATCAGCCAAGGCAGTAACCCATGCTATACTCACACAGCTAGAAAACAGCTGTTTATCTATCACATTATTATTTCAAATAGATACGTATCGCCTGTTTTCCCACCAAGCTTTTAAAGAGTGCCTTTGAAAAAAGACACAAAGAAAACAACAACAATAAGGACTCACAGCACAGGACTCCGTTCTACTGAGAGCCAGCCTTGGAACTGAAACAGCAGACATGAACTCAAACGAATCCTGTTCCTGTGGCAAAATCAGAACGCCTGTGTGCCCCAAGGCGTCATGGAAAAACAAGTGGTATTTATAGTCCCATTAGGACCTAAGCCTAAAATTATTATTTTTAACACAATAAGCAAATCAAATGCTGGATCAGTGATTAGTCTTGCCCTTCTCCCAAATTCCCAGTTTCACCATCGACATAGCTCCTTCTCCTTCCAACTGAGAAAAGTTAAGAAAGCATCCTGCTGACAGGAAAAGACTGTACCACTTTCATCCTGCACTTCGAGCCTTACATGAAGGGAAGGGAAGACAGCCTGCCCCCACTGTTCCGGCTCCCCATGTTATCCAGCAGACTGGAAGGGATCTGATCCTCTTACTTTGTGCAGGCCTGCCCAGGAAGCAACGAAGGGGAACAGGCTCCTCTTTTCTCAGGCAGTCAGCTTTGGAGTGCATTGTTAACATTCCCCAGACAAACAGAAAAGAACATCAATAGGTGGGTAAGCAGGCAAGCAAAAAAGGGCAAGACTGATGGCTGAGGCAGAATTTGATTTGTTGGTAAGCAACTCAGTCTTTTCAAGCGCAAGGCAAAAGGAAGCTCATGCGAGTCTTCTTTGTCTTTCCCTGCGTTTCCCATAACTGTGTACTCAAACACTGCTTTTTAAGTCTTCAACCAACATGTAACAAATGAATTCCTATGATTTTTTAATTAAAGTATTACTCACAGCTATGTTGATGAATATAGTCTCAAACTCAGATGATGTTAGAAACCTTCTCAATGGCACCATAAAATACTGCAGGGGGAAAAATAAGTTCTAGTTCCATTAACACACATCTCCGCATATTACATGGAAAATGTCTGAATGTATCATTTTCAAAGGTACCATTTAGGGAGGTTAAAGAATGACAGTCATTTTTGTTCTCCCTTATTTCTCTGTGTTTTCAGCACACATGCTCCAGGAGTACCACTGACCAAATCACTGGCTCTGCAAACTGAGTGATGATTGTTATAAACCAGTGCTTTCAAAACCTCTAATCTCTCATGCCGGCTTTTATCTGAATTAAAATTAGAGGCACAATTCAATCTTATAGCTTTAACCAAGATTACTTTTAGAACATCTAAGGTCAGATCTACGCATCAATGGATATCACACTATTGCAAACCTCCATTGCCTAGATTTTCCTGTCCTGCCCAGGAGGTAAATGATTGCAACTGTACGATATCCAGAAATCTACACATCCAAGCTAAAATGAAGAATTGTTGTTGTTGTTCAGTCGCACAGTCGAGTCCGACTCTTCGCGACCCCATGGACCAGATCACGCCAGGCCTTCCGGTCTTCCGCCGTCCTCTGAAGTTTGCTCAACTTCATGTTCGTTGCATCTATGACACTGTCTAACCATCTCATCCTTTGCCGTCCCCGTCTTCTTTGACCTTCAATCCTAGCCTCAATTAACCCCATCCCCTTTGTTTCTGTAAGTAATTAACCTGGGTGAGCCTCCTCAATGGAAAGAGGTAAGCCTAGAGCAGCAGTTGTTCAGAGAAACAACGGGCAACCTCACCTCAGCACAACTGGTTGTGCTGTCCCTCTGTAGCCAGGGTGAATGAACAAGAGAACCACACCCAATGCAGGCAAGTAGCAGAATTACCAGTCCTCGGTGAAAAGTGATTGGATGGAGGCAAGTCCAAAGCAGTGGATCATGTAGCCACAGTGGGAAGCATTTGCTTTAGTAGGACTTTAGACTCATGGAAATTCATTTCAGAGATGGGGTAATGGCTAAGTAGTAGAGCATTCACTTTGCAAGCAGAAAGTCTCAGGTTCAATCCGTGGCATCTCCAGAAAACGGGTAAGGTAGTAGGTGACATGAAAGACATCTGTCTGAGACCCTGGAGAGCCTCTGCCAGTCAGACTAGACAGACTGACCTTAATACCTCAGTGGTATGATTCATCAGATAATAGTTTCATTTGTCCCTATGGCGCGATATTGTGTTCAGGACACAGTTTAAGAACAATTAACTAGGCCTGTGCACTCATATCACACGCTAGCAAGGTCATGCTCAAGATCCTACAAGCTAGGCTTCAACAGTACGTGGATAGAGAACTGCCAGAAGTACAAGCTGGGTTTCGAAGAGGTAGAGGAACTAGAGATCAAATTGCCAACATTCGCTGGATTATGGAGAAAGCAAGAGAGTACCAGAAAAATATCTACTTCTGCTTCATTGACTATGCTAAAGCCTTTGACTGTGTGGATCACAACAAACTATGGCAGGTCCTTAAAGAGATGGGAGTACCAGACCACCTCACATGTCTCTTGAGAAACCTGTATAAGGGCCAAGAAGCGACAGTTAGAACCGGATATGGAACAACTGATTGGTTCAGCATAGGAAAAGGAGTACGACAAGGATGTATATTGTCGCCTTGCTTATTTAATATATATGCAGAGTACATCATGCGAAATGCTGGCCTGGATGAATCACAAGCGGGAATTAAGATTGCTGGGGAAAAGATCAACAACCTCAGATATGCAGATGATACCACTCTAATGGCTGAAAGTGAAGAGGATCTAAAGAGCCTCTTGCTCAGAGTAAAAGAGGAGAGCGCAAAAGTGGGCTTGAAGCTCAACATCAAAAAAACTAAGATCATGGCATCCGGCCCCATCACTCCTTGGCAAATAGAAGGGGAAGTCGTGGAAGTAGTGACAGACTTCACGTTCCTGGGATCCCAGATCACCGCAGACTGTGACAGCAGCCATGAAATTAAAAGATTTCCTTGGGAGGAAAGTGATGGCGAACCTAAACAGCATGATAAAAAGTAGAGACATCACCCTGCCAACAAAAGTCCGCATGGTCAAAGCAATGGTATTCCCAGTAGTCATGTATGGCTGTGAGAGTTGGACTATAAGGAAGGCCGAGCGCCGAAGAATAGATTCTTTTGAACTATGGTGCTGGAGAAGACTCTTGAGAGTCCCTTGGACTGCAAGAAGAACAAATCAGTCAATCCTCAAAGAAATCAACCCTGACTGTTCCCTGGAAGGCCAGATAATGAAACTGAAGCTCAAATACTTTGGCCACCAAATGAGAAGGGAGCACTCACTGGAGAAGACCCTGATGCTGGGAAAGATTGAAATTCAAAGAAGACGGGGACGGCAAAGGATGAGATGGTTAGACAGTGTCATCGATGCAACGAACATGAAGTTGAGCAAACTTCAGAGGATGGCGGAAAACCGGAGGGCCTGGAGGGAGCTAGTCCATGGGGTCGCAAAGAGTCGGACTCGACTGTGCGACTGAACAACAACAACAACTAGGTTAAGGGGGGGTTGCCTTATTTAAAACTGCCATTGTTACGATAAGGAAATAATCCCAATGAACGCTTTCAAAATCCAAGGCCAAGTTTTGTCATTGAATCCTGAGTACATCCCACAGAGAGCTTTAGTCTGCTTCCTCCAGAAATCCCTCTGCCTCCTATTACCAACATACTGAAAGGGCAGTCCTGATCAACATTACCTTTTCTATGGACTCCAACGTTTCTGTGTATTTCTCTTCAGTCTGCTTTATTTCAGAAAGGCAGCAGCTTCTTATGTCATTCTCGGGACACTTCTGTGAAGTCAACAAGGTGGTGGTTGTAAATTCAGCACATGTTGCACTTAGATGCTTTGCTATTAGAACATATTGGTTTGGGACATAATCAGCACTTGCAGTCTCGCACAACTGATTATCAGCACCCAAATTCTTCCACGATTTATTATTTGGGCAGCAGGGGGCAGCCTAGTCATATGATGCTGCAGGGGAACTTTTGTCGTAATAGCTGAAGATGGAGGACAGGGAAGTAGCCTGCACCACAGCTACTATCACTTTAGTACAGTACCTGTGATAGTTGTGGGGAGGGGCACTGGAGCTCTGTCACCTCCCTATCAAACTCCACATATCAGATTGAGTAGCACATATCCTTCTGCTTGACTGAGCATAGTCTGTAGTCAAGACTAAAGGAGCCTTCCTCCAACGAAGAGCCTCTTAGGTTAGAGGAACCTCTTCCAGCCTAAGGTAAGGATAAATGCCAATGTACACTTATGGGAAGGAAGTGGAAGTACAATCTACTTTTTGGCTTCTGCTTGATTAAACCCCTTCTACAGCATCTCCATGATGAAGTTAGGGATCCTTCCAAATAATATCTTCATCAGAGCAGTCCTCTGGATCATGGGAGTTCCAAATTACCTGGCCTTATTTCCAAAGTGGAACCAATGCTTTAAGAATCCTCCATTGCTCTGCTTTTTATTGCCAAATTTTGTACTGTGCACGTGCAGTTTGCAGCAGCTTTTGATTCATTTGCATCTTCCTCCCCTCCTTCACCACTCTACTGATGCACAGATATGCACTGATAAAACACTGCCCAAAAAACCCTCCAGATCTTGATGTGATTGTATGCATGGTTGGCTCGTTAGTAAAACACCACACAACTAGCATTCTGAACTAATCATACATGTTTTCACATCAAGGTTGTTGGGGTTTTTTGCAATGTTTAAAAATTTACTTGTGTACATGTGTAACACAGAGGAGGAAAACAATGCAAAAAAATAATAACATTAAGGTACTCAAAACGTTACCAAACTGCCCATGAGCAAATCCTAGAATGTCAGGAAAAAATCTCCTAGACAGACTGGATTAAGGAGGAATGTAATGCATCACAGAATGAAATGTAACAAAATAACAGAATGAGACTAATCTGCTCACCATGTTTAAAACTGGGATGGGGGAGGAATCCCAAAATTCACAGAGGAGTCAGCAGAGTATTATAACAAGTTAGAAAGCAAAAGGTCTGAACTAGTGTCAAGTATGAATAGAATGTCAATTCACGTATAATTTGCTTCACATTTATTAAATCTGGATTTCATTTGCTCCAGAGTCTGAAGAGAATATCTTGCAGAGAGTTCTTCACTAAATTCACAAAGGACAGTCCAATCAAAATTAAACACTTGTTATTTACAACTTAGCACTCTTATTTAAAATAAAAGGGACTAGTGTTGTATTTTGGTTAGGATACGCTCTGAACATTTTATTGCTGCTATTGTTTAGGATTAAGTGCTAATTCGCTCTGAACATTTTATTGCAGCTATTGTTTAGGATTAAGTGCTAATTCGAGTAACTGTGAATCATACAGGTTGAAGTGCAGCTTCAGCTTTCATTAGGTCTTCATACACTTCACCACCTTCATCCTCGCCGTAAACGCAATCATAAAGGTCTTCATCCTCATCCACACCAGTTTCACTAAAGGGCAAAGTGGAAAGAAGGAAGACAACAAAATTAAGCACATCCAATAGAACATTTAATTCAAAGAATGTTTAGAATCTATTGTTAGAGATTTACAGTCAATCCATCCCTGCTTAACTAGTATATTCCTTCAGCAGCAAAGAGAAGTTTGTAGCTGGGGGACATGTTGGTATCCTGTACTGTGCTATACTAAAAATGTAAGGAAGAGTTAATCCTCGTGAAATGATTATTTATATTTACAGAAATGTTACACATTGTCACAGATATGGCCAGAAATATAGAACTTGACCAAAAAAAATCCTAGAGGATGTTGTAGTATACATAAATAGAACAAACCTGGGCTCTCAGGGAAGCCTACAAGGGAGCCTAGAGACCCAGAATAGAATCGCCTTGAGGAACAGTAAGAAGAATACAAAGCAGTAACAGCTATAGGGCCTGGTATAGATTAGAAGACATCTAACCCATTATCAATAGATACCATTCATTTAGGCCCAGGTGCAGAAGCGTCTGAGATTTGCAAGAATGTCCAATTTCATAGAAGATAGGATTCCAAGATAGGCGTATTGGTTGAGGGACGAGGTATTGTATGAGAAACTTGTAATCATTATTTTTAAATAGAATTTGCTAATATAAAAAGCAGCAAGAATGAACTAACATTAATATTTACATATTCTAAAAAGTTGCCTTGGTTTCATCCAAGATAGAACAATATTTGAGTCATAACCATGGGTATCTAAAAATAACTGGGAAATATAATTCAATCCAAGTACCTAGTGAACCAAGATCTACTGTGGCTAAATACACCATGGGATTCTCTGAAGATAATCTTAATCAACAATCTGTAAAACATTCCAGGGTGTCCCTGGTTCAAAATATAAGCCTAGGATGAGTGAGGACATAAAGTTTGAGAGTAGACTTGGACTTTATGATAAGGCAAAAAAAAATAAGAAGCACAAATTCCTGGGTTCTTCCTGTTCTCTTTTGACTATTTGACTTCAGTTCTTTCCTCAGAAGGCACAAGTAGCTGTAAATGCAGGGACAGCTTAGCCAATCTCCCTGCACTTTCACTACATATTCCCTTCACATAATTGTAAAATCAAAAGCCACTTCACACAGTAAAGGGAAAAAGAAGCTACAGTGGTCAGTTGAAAGGTGGCACACACAGCTAGCAGAGATGTGGAGCTCGGTAAAAATAATGTGAAGGGTTTGGATTATCTAATGCTTTCGTTCCCAAAGTATTCAAAACTAAGTTTCTACAGCAGCGCTCAAAGGACAGAAATCTTTCAAGGCAATGCTATGGAAAAACAAAAATCAATACAACTTTAAACCAAAAGGCAATGAAGATATATGACTTTCCAAAACATGAATGATCTTGCCACGCTCAATAGACAGAGTGACAATCCCTCCTCAGGGCTCTAGAAGTTTCTGAAGGGTTTTTCTTTTGGGGGGGTTGGGTTTTTTTGTTTTGTTTTGTTCTGTTTTTGCAGGCAGAGAACCTAATGTGCACAACACTCATGAAGGGGGAAAGGAGGATATTCTTGGGCTTTTGTTTTGAAATTGGGTACCCATGGTTGTTTTATAAACTGTTGATCAGGATTTATTATAAAGAAAAACAGAAGACAGCCTCAAGATTCCAAAGCAAACAATAAGTTTTAAAGATGGCAGTAACTACCAGCCAAAGTAAAATAATGTTTGAAGATTGGATTGCAAATAGTTAGAGGGAACAGAAAAACAGAAAGCATAACTAGGAAGCTAGTGTAAATGCATGGAGAAATCTAAGCAAAGAAAGCATTATTTAAAAATGACTCTTCCGTACTCATGGTGCCTTTTTTTTTTAGCCAGCTCCATGCCCCCCCCAATTCCTTTCATTGTAAAAAAAAAAAAAAGCAGCCCTACCAGCTACATTTGGAGAAGAAAATAAATCTTTCAAATTGATCATGCAACTAAACATATCATGTCATTTGTGTCTCAGTTAGAAACAAAAAAAAATCGAGACATAAAATCCTAGTTTTCAACCTTCTGATCAATGTGAGCACAAAACTGTCTTGGATCTCACAACTAAAAATCCCTTCTATGTTCCTAGCATTACAAACAAACATGCCAAGCCTATGCATCTGTGGACATATGTTTCTATTCCACATGAAATAAATCTTAATTGTTAATAGTTTTAGTTCAAGAAAATGTATCAAACATTTTTGGAATAGGAACATGAGGGTTTTCTGTTTACCAAATAATTGGTGCAACATTCAGTTATTTTGAGTTCAGTTACCTGTTAAGTCCAGCGCTTAACAAATAGTATTCCACATGAAATAAATCTTAATTGTTAATAGTTTTAGTTCAAGAAAATGTATCAAACATTTTTGGAATAGGAACATGAGGGTTTTCTGTTTACCAAATAATTGGTGCAACATTCAGTTATTTTGAGTTCAGTTACCCCACTCAACCACTGGCCATTGCTTCCTGACTCCCACACCGCTTGTGGGCCCTCAAACCCTTAAAGTTACAGCTTCAGAATACTGTCTTAATCACTGTGCAGTTTCTTCAGTTCCCCGCTCCCTCAGTTCCTTGCTACCTTTACCACTTTCTTCACGCCTCCTTGTCTTCTTGCATTTCTCTTTCCAGTCCACAACAAACTTCCTTCAGGTTGCCTCTAAGCCTCTTTTTCAGTTGAAAACTCCTTTTAAAATTGCTGCAGGGACCACCTGGCACCACAGTGCGGGGAAAAGAGGCTACTGCTTCCCCTGCACCATTTTCCTGAGCCAAAACAGTACAGAGGGGCATTATTTGCCCCGTCTGAGGTGTTCCACATGCAAGCTTCAATGCATGTGGAGCCCCTCAGACAGGATGAATAATACCCTTTGTGCCATTTCTATCCAGGAAAGCAGTGGGGGCAAGACCCAAGACCCCTTTGTAATAGTCCCAAGCTGAACTGGGCCCCCACAATGATTTTAAAAGGAGTTCTCACTGGGAATTCCAAACCCCAATGTGTTTGTGAGGCCTATGACATACTCATAGAAGCTGTAATTTCTAGTTTGGCTCTTAGCTGCCATGCCTCCTGAAACCCCAGCAGCCAAGTTCTCAGTATGATCCATGAAGTTACTCCTGTCCCAAGGACATGTGTGAGACTTTCATCCCAGCTAAACTGACAACTTTCCCTGTCTTCACACGTCTGAAAATGTTGTACATGATTTTATTATTTGGTATCTGAGTCAGAGGTTTCACTGCCACAAGCATAAAAATGCAGAGTCTTGTTTTCAAACAGAAATGTTTTTGCATCAACAGAGTCAATAGATAATATCTTACACAGTGGAAAACCCCATTATCTGATTTCAGTAGCAATCATACTTTGGAAACCATTCTCTCACGACAAATTTACAACCTACTCTATTAAATCTGGAAGACCTTTGTAGATGTCTTCATCATCCACACTCTCTTCATTTGGAAACGGCCTATAGAAACAAAAGATAAAAATAAGAACTCTCCAGGAACAGCATCAACAGAAATGTTCTTTTTTCAATAAGCATGCCATATGGAGAGCCTAAGCAAATGTTTAGAAGCTGTATATGTGAACATATGCTGGTTGTGGGACCATGCACTGCCTCCATGTGCTCAGTGGAATCCCTAAAAGGAGCAGATAAACGTATTATTTCACAGTTATTTGACTATATCCCCAACTGACTACATGCATAGAGAGAGGGGGTGCTGATAAGATATTTATATGATAAGAACCAAGAATACAGCAAGATGCTTGCATGATAAGAACTTTCAATCCCTCTATAGTATAATAACTACCCAGCAGAGAGTACAGTATGGGAATATGGCATAAAAATACATGGCAATACACAGGAATGGCAAGGTAATGGGATGAAATAGAAAAATAGAGAACAATTAATACCCCTTGGTTTGAAGTTATCTTCTAATTTTGATTAAGTGGAGACTTTGGCTACACTGAATATTACTATCAATGCAAGGTTCAGTCACCATTGAGGAATGGGGAGGGGAGCAATTAAATCCAGAGGGGGAGGGGGAGCTGGGGATGGAGCATGTGATCCTTTAAACCTACCTAACCTAGACTATGAGAGTACCCCCAAATATATATATATATATCTGTGCCAGGTAGAGATATAACATTTCTGGAAATCTGGAGGGGAAAGTTTGGTTTTTTTAATGGAAAGTTCAGGGAAACTTTTAACAAATGTAAAACATATATAAAACTTTCCTATCAAATTCTTTTATCAAATTAGCATCATTTATAACTTAGTTAGCAGATAAAATTACACTATTTGGCATATTTATCAAATGTAATTGTTATAAGAAAAAATGGAAGATTCCATATATATTGCCAAGTGGCAAAGAGGTCCTTTTCCCCCAAGGGATTTGAGGGCAATAAGCACACCAGTGGTGAAGGAAAAGGTTTTATTGAACTCTCTATAATAATGAGATATCAACAAGTCACAAGAATAGACAGAGAATAAACCAGAGAATATACCCATGCCCTTTCTGCCGCAGGAACCTCAGCTCATGGTGGACCACAGAGCAGTGCTGAGTGCACCAACCAACACCTGAAGTCCATCCACTATCATTCTTCAGGGTTCCTGCAGCAGAAGGGGCATAAAACCCTTCTTGACAACAGAACACACTTGAGAAAAAGTAGCAAAATGCCACACTATATCCTACCATAGTACATATATCTCAGCCTGAGAAGCAGAATAACACTTAACGGTAAAAAAACAAATTCTGTCGTTAACAAAAGGAAATGTATTATACAGTCCCAACAGGAAAGACTACCAGCAACTTTGGAATTTAAGTTAAATTTAATAACACTGACAATACTGAACTGCTCAATCATGTATTATCGTTAAACACATTATAGCATATAAATTGTTGCCAATTGTCCCATATACACAGATTTCCACACGGAGACTATTTTTCCATTAACCCTTATCCAAAAACATGATGACATATTTTAACCAAAATTTAATTGCACTTGATTCATTTAACAATTTTTCATGAAAGTTAATTGTATTATGGACAAATTAAAAAATCAACAATAAAAATGGAATCCGCTATTATATTTTACCTTATTCCAGTGGCTAATGCAGTAGAAGTACGGGAAAGTTTCGATAATGTTTCTATGACCTGCAGAAGCAGTTAACACATGTACTGAGTTACAAGCATATAAACATATAGAATTCAAATTCCATTTTTGCAGGAGATACGCAACAATACACAGAAGATAATTGATAAATTTGTTCACATAACAATGAATAGAATATAGCTAATTAATTTGTTGAAATGCAAGTCCCACTGATTTCAATTGTGCTTGTACAAATATAATCAATCAATCATTTATTGTAGTCATAGACGAGCAGAATCTAATGTGGTCATTTTTTTATTTTTTTTATTTTGCTGTCAAGTCACAGCCAATTTATGGTGACTCCATGGGGTTTTCAAGGCAAGAGACATTCAGAGATGGTTTGCTATTGCCTGCCTCCATGTCACAACCCTGGTATTCCTTGGAGATCTCCCAACCAAATACTAGCCAGGACCAACCTTGCTTTGCTCTGATGAGAACTGGATAGCCTGGGATCAGGGAAAGTGGTCATAGATGCTTACATTTTCAGATCATCACGTTCAATTTTTGTCTAGTTTACACTTTTTAAATAAGCAGCTAAAAATCCATTTCTACTATTTTATTAACATACTTATTAAAATAAGTTTAAAGTGGTCCAGAAAAACTCTTTGAACTATGATCAATTAATGCAATTAGTAATGTGGCATTATGTAGAAGTATTCTATAATTAACAGCACAACAAAGACTGAAATTCTTCATTCAGAACGCTTTACGCAGCTCCATCCCTCCTACATGTGCTTGATTGGAGCAATTCAAAAGGCATTTGAGACAGATTAATTTCAGCTTTCTTTATTTTGAATATTTATTGCCACCCTCACTCAAACTATGGGTCATCAAGATGTCTAACTAATAAACTGAAATATAAAACAATATAAAGACAACCATTATAAAATATCAAAAGCAAACCACCAACCAAAGTGCAGAAATACAAGCAGCATGCACCATTTCCTATTTCAATACAGTTTGAAGACCCTTCAAGATGAAAAGTTTTTAAAGTTCCTCTGGAAGGCCTCCAAATTTGGCCTCAGATGAAGGAATTCCACATCTCAAGGTGGTCATGGCTGAGAAGTCTTCCCATGGATCTCAGGCAACCTAATCTTAGCTAAAAACATGGTTCCCACAGAGGCACTAAGCACAGATCTTGAGCCAGGGCAGGTTGATATGGGTAGAGGCAATCTTTGTTTTAATGGACAACTTTGTTTCGCCTCTGTGGGGCCTTGAGAGTCACAGATTGCTAATCCAGATACTGGTGATTATTGCTCACTTTCAGTTGCTTGCTTATTTTTTAATTATTTCTATGTAGTTATCTATTTATATTATACAAAATCATCACATATTATCCTTCCGTCACATCTTCTTATTACAGTCAATAGTAATTAAGCTCATATAAGATCGAAATTTGCTTAATTTTTTTAAATTGGTAGCTACTTTGTCATCTGGCAAGGAAAAAATTGCATATAAATGGTTTGGGGTTTTTTTAATAAAACACATCTTCTTAATATTCAGTGTCAGCAATGCACACAGCACACCATACTTTGATATACAAACTATTGCTCCGATCCAAATTTCTCAAGTTGGTGAATACATGAATTGTTAAACTGAACAATTAAACAGGATTAAAAATGCAAGGAAAGAAACAGCAAGCTAAGATTGCACGCAATTGATTTTTTTTAACAATAGATGTCTATGATGGATGACAAACTGCTCTTGAAATGCTACTTGGTTTCAAGAGCAGTTTTTTATATGGCACTGAGAGAAGTATAAAACGGGAGTAAAAACAACAAAAATTTATCAACTAAAACAAAAGTAACATACAATCCTACATGTCCACAAAATATGGTAAGAATTAAACTGTCTCTCTCTCTCTCTCTCTCTCTCTGTGTGTGTGTGTATAAAGTGAATTCAAGTCACAGCCAACTTAAGGTAACCTCATCAGGTTTTCCAGGAAAGAGACTAACAGAGTTGCCATTGCCTTCCTCGGCGCAGTGACCCTGGACTTCCTCGGTGGTCTCCCATCCAAATACTAACCAGGGCCGACCCTACTTTGCTTCGAAGATCTGACAATATCGACTTCCGGTTTTGGCGCTTTAAACGATGGTGGCGTCTCTTGGTTCCTCGAAGAGACGTGTGCCATGAATCAGGGATTAGGAGGGAGCGTGATTGTGCACGCTCCCCCATGGAGCCCATAGACAATGGGCTTCTAGCCAGGGGGCTTTGGAGAGCCCTACCTCCGGCCGGCAGCCGGTACAGGGGGGCTACTCTCTGCCCTGAAGGTCCTGCCCTGATTCCCAGTACTGGATTAGAAGCAACCACCGGCACAAGCATTTGGAGGTTTAGCGATTTTCTCTGCCTCGCATGATCCCAGGGGCCGTCTTAGGACCTGGTAGATCAATTCAAGGACTGATGAGTGATTTGCCGTTGAAACGAGACACTAAAGCCTAGACGTGAAGTCCCTCTACTATAAGCGTATAAACGGAGGGGGGAAGGGGACGCCCTTTCTCCCGACGTTTTAAGCAAATGCGAAAGCAAGGATGGAGGGACTGATCAAATTGTGGCGATGGACTGTAGTACAGAGTTTTTCGGAAAGAAAGCAGAGCGTTTAAACAGACCTTAGAGACTTTGGCATTTTTTCTCGGCTGATGTAAACATCCCCAAAAGATGGCAACGAGAGGCGAAGAGGGAGGCGGGATCAATGCTTTCTTCAGGAAGGAGGTCATGTGACCTAACCATCGACTCTGTCTTTAAAGTGAATTGTGGGCCGTCTGGTGACTAAAGTGAGAAGCGACCTGGATCTCTACTAAAAGCAGCTACACTTTTAAAGGGACAGTACGTTGATCATAGAGACGTATAAATGGTAAGGAGACTCTAAAGTTTAGTTTTTTGTGGCTGGATTGGCAAGCTGATCGAAAAGTGGTTTTCTGGAGTAAACCCCAACTCGCTACCCCAACTTTTCAAGATCTGCTTGCTAAGAGAAGGGTTGGAATCTCCAATGAGTGTGTTGTTAATGCAACAAAAGGAAAAACTCTTTTGATTTAAGACGTTTAAGGAAGCGAAGATGTCCCTGGAAAAAAGGAACTTGGTTTATATCATGAATGGACAGATCTGGACTTATAAAAACTAAAAGATAATTGAAGAAAGAAGATACATCGAAGACGGAAGAAGAAAAACATGTTGTAATGTTCTTATTGAGGGAACATTGGTTTTAAAGATCTTGCCTATGGGGGGGTAAAGCATAAAAGGAGATGCTAATTTTTTCTTAAGGGCTGTGATTATGTGTGTTATAGCTTTGGAATTACTCTCTGGTCAGATAAGCTGGTTTTGTCAGCAGAAGCGATGATTGGCGGGCACTCTTCATGTTTGAAAGTAACTGTATAAGAGTAACAACTATGTTTTAAGCATTGTAAAACCTCAATTCTTGGGTTTTTAGTTAGGTTCTTTTTACTTCCTCCTATAGATTACAGATTCTCCCTCCCCAATTTCTGTTGTAGTTTTATAGAAATGCAAATAAAAAATTCCCCTTCGAGGGGCCAAAAAAAAAAAAAGATCTGACAAGATCAAGTTATACTGGGCCATCCACATCATGGCAAGAATTAAACTAACACCTGGTAAATAAAAGAGCAGCAGAACTGATTGCCAAAATATTTAATTAAAAAGAAAGCCAGGAAGTAGTTCCCTTTCCACAGTGTCACTTCTACATAGCCACCAAAGGAGGGAGCTGTTGGACAAAATATTACTTAGATCCCAACCAGATCCCAACCAAAATAAGATCCTGCAGCTGCATACCTTTTAAATTTTTAAGAGATGCATTCTAAGAATAGAACACAAGTAATCATTGGTGGAGATAGAGGCCGAAGTACAATTCTTAAGAAGCAAGAAAGAGAATAATGTATGAAATGCAGGGTAAGAAAGTTAATTTGATCCCTGCATGGCATCATTCTACATTCATTTAAAATATTAAGCCACTGCTGCTCTGCTCATTGGGTGAAAGCTATGTATAAAATGAGTTTTTCTGTAGCTAAAGCTCAGAAAGTCTAATATCTTTGATAAAAATCAAGCTCACATATTCTCAAATCTTACAGAGTGCAGAAACCCAACCTATTCAATGAAAAGACAACAGCTTTTCCTGTTGGTTTCAATTATAAACAGCTGGAACATGTCTCTGTTTAGCAAAGAATCAACCACGTATTACTGATTGATTGTATAAAAAGCTAGGACTAATTTCTCCTTTATTTAAATCACTAAAAAAAAAACCTGATAGTCAAAGGTGCTATGCAAACTAGTCACAATGAATTGATCACTCTTACAAATAAGCCATTGTAATTAACAAATCCTCAGATAATCAATAATTTGAATTAATGTGATTACCATCTCAAAACTAAGCCAATGAACATTATAGACTTTTTAAAAACATACCCTCAAGACTGATTACTACCAACTACAGTCATCTCAGTTGCAGATAGAAAGTAAATCTACAACACTGCCAGTAGGCTATAACATCCTGCCTGATTTTTTTTTAATTTGGCTGATTTCTAACAGGAAGGGATTCCAAAAACGACTTATCACTGGTTATATCCAGTCTCACTTGTGACAAGTCCTCATTTCTCAGTATCAAAACTAATATACATTGGATAAGGTACCACCTTTCAGGTATTCCTGGACTCAGACTGTACAGCATCTTAAATGTTCTAACCAGCACCTGGAATTTAGTCCAGAACTCACTGTTAATCATAATGAGGGGTTTAGATGCATCTGTGTGGGCCATGAAAACATCTCCTGGATCAAAATGTTGTTACCCTTTAAGCTGCCAGTAAACTCTTCTTTATTCCATCAACTGTTCCATCAAATACAGAAAAAATAAATATGCTGTATGTGGTTGTCTTCTTAGAATTTTTATTTTTACTAATTTTTGCTGCCACTCACCCAAATGGTCTTGTGGCAACTTACAACATTAAAACCATTAGAAGTCATGCTTCTGTATTAAGGTCCAGGAACAGTTTTTGAACTA